GGAGATATGATTTTATGGATTTGAAAGAGGGAAACTTTAAAGTTCATTATATTGCTTTTTTAATAAAGTCATTAGCTTTTAGAAAATCATTGAAAAGTTGTTATTCTAAGACTTGCTCTTGTCTAATAGTTATGGAATCCAGAATCCATAAGTCACAATTAACTATAATCAGTGAAAGGTGTTTTCTCATATGTCCCTGTAATACCTTCTGTCTTTATTTTATTTATATTGTCCTAATTTTAACATGGGATAAAGGAGTTACTGCCATTTCACACACTCAAAGTATAAATAATAATGTTACTAGACATAATCAGAGATCATTCTTGTAAAATCTGATTTGTGATTCTCCCTAGGAACCCATTGGCTAAAAAAATGAAGATTCAATAAAATGATTCTCCTAGTTGTCTCTCTGTCATCACCAATTACAGAATGTATTTTCTTTGGCTATTGTATTCCATAGAAAATAAATTCTACTTTTCAGATATTTTTACATTTTATTGTGTTTTTCTCCAGTTTGTTTAATAAATTTAATTATTGTGGTGGTGAGGATTTAATCCAGGGCCTCATATATCTAGGCAAGTACTCTACCAGTAAGCTTTATCCCCAGCCTGTTACATTTAAAAATCACATTTAGTTGGCTTCAATTTAATTACATTGTCCTATTACGAAACATCACTGACCGTAAAACATAATATTATTTTAAGTGTTGGGGTGAGGATAAAGTTTGGCCTAAGTGTCTTCAGAGAAAATTGATAGATCTGTGGTTTAGTGGAAAATCTGCCATTGAATAGCACTGTCTCTAGTCCTTCCTGTCACTTAACATGTGCATACATTCATACATTGCAGTGATGGTCAGCGATGAGCCTTAGAAATTACATGTGACTCATCTGTATTTGTTTGAGATCCTGTGTTAGCAGATTCTGAGAGAATTATTTAAGAAGTTGACTTGGGAAGTGGTCCAAGAGGAACAATAATGGAGCAGGAAGTAAGACAAGGTGAGAAGGAAGCTAATACCAGGAAAGTTATCAAGCAGGTCGCCACTGCTGGACTCTAGAGCATTCTGGGAGCCAGTGTAGCACACACATTTAAGATTTATGCTCTCAGAAGCAACTTGATGTAAGACTCACCCTCCAACCTCCAATCAAAAGCCCATAACCCTCTCTAATGATGCTTCAACATGTGATTATTGTTGAGTCACAAATTACAACTGGAAATACAATGAGCTTAAAGGAGTTATAAACTGTTGAATACCTTTTCAATAAGTTCCATCAAACAAGATTTTCACATAATAAGGAAGATTTCAATTCATAAAATCCAAGACATGCTCAAAATGTTCATGCTTCCGTATATTTTCTGACACTTTAAACAACATATGCAATCAACTTGAATTTAAAAAATAGTGGAAACTCCGGTCACATGATTTTTACTTAGAAGAAATACCACAATGTCGCCCATTTCTACTACACTCTTTGGTGGTTTATTTTTAAAGAGGTTTGTTTACAACTTGCAGTGTTCAGTAAAGTGAGAAGTAAATTTGGAACTTCAGCAAAGTGAAAAATAAATTTTGAGCTACAGTAGAGTAAGAAATAAACTTTGACCTTCAGTAGAGTAAAAAATAACCTCTCATTTCTTTAAGCAAGCACATGTAATATTTCCCATTCTCTTATCACATTCAGACATAGTATGCCTGTAATCTATATAATGTGGAGTTGAAAATAACAGTACATGCAAAGTATCCTAATTATATGGTTTTTTTAAAAAAAAATAAGCTCATGCAACAAATACAAAACATTGGAGGGATTGTCTATTAAAAATTTCAAGATCGAATCTGAAAGTTGGAAAAGATTATGTAGTGAATACAGGACTCACACTAAAATATGGATATAAATGCCTTTCATCTGGAGCATGTTGAAGAGGAAGTTTTTCATGCATAATGATTTTTACAACCTACCTTATTTGTTATTTTCTTTTATGATTTTTTTCCTACTGGAGCCTTTTCTAAAGAAACTAGCTGGTGCTGTGAAAAATATAAATCTTACTTCTTTTCATTGATGGTTCTGTTTAAAAATATGCAATCTCATGAATTCCTGTAGATATTTATCATTCTTAATGTTCTCTTTAAGGAAAAAGAAATATTTCAAGTCATTTGCAAAATCTATGAATATAGAGGAACAGGACCTTATTGAACACATAATGTCCTTTCAAAGTGAGGATTCTCTTCCTAAATTCCAGATTTTTTTTATTGTAAAGTTACTGTCAGAGGGGTTACAGTTACATGAGTAAGGTAATGAGTACATTTCCTATTGAACATTTTACCACCTCGTTTGTTTTTCCCCTACCATCCCTTCCCTCCCTCCCCAACTTTGCCCTCCCCGCCACCCTGAAGTTGTAAAGTTTGTTTTCCCCATAGTATCTTGTACATCTCATTGTTACAATGGGTCAACCTGAATCCTTATTTCGGCATATTGTTATTTCCTTTCTTCTTCCCAAATTAGAAAAATGTATACAAGTTGCAGGGTACCAGAATCAAATACAGTGAAAACAGAGGTAATACCATGGGGGAAGAACATAAAAAGAAACAAAACATCACATAGTATATTAAAAATATCAGCAAGAAAGATAAAACTTCTGTGTCCCTATCTTGGGGTTCATTTCACTTAGCATCATCTTATATGATCATATGTACATAGCTTTTGACCTTTACTGTTTGTCTGATAAGATTATCCTAGATATATACCAGTTATTGCAAATAAGGTAAACCATGGGACCTATGTTTCTTTGGGTCTGGCTTACTCCATTTAATATAATTGTTTTTCCAAGTCTTTCCATTTGCTAATAAATGGAGCAGTGTCATTCTTTCTGATAGAGGCATAGAATTCATTCATATATATATATATATATATATATATATATATATATATATCACATTTTCTTGATCCATTCATCTACTTAGGGGTATCTGGGTTTGTTCCATATCTTAGCTATGGTAAATAATGCTGCAATAAATATAGTTGTGCTGGTAGCTTTAGTATGGCCTTGTCTGTGATTGTTTGGGATTGCTGAGTCATAGGGGAGCTCTATGGGTAGTCTTTTGAAGAACCTCCATACTTCTTTCCAAAGTGATTGAACAAGTTTACACTCCCACCAACAAAATTCTTTCAGATAGATATTTTGAAATCTGTGCTTTATTTCAGTGCAAGTTTAGAATTGCAAGCAATGAATGTATGTGTGGGTCTTGATGTCTTTCAGGATTTATCTAACTGAAGTGAAAAATAATTTTATTCAAACCCTCATCAAATAATTAACAATAACAATGAGTTTTCAAAGGAAGATTTGTAATACAGAGGGGTTATATTAAGATCAAAACATGTCCAAATATGATTTTTTCCAAATAAGTTTTTAGTAATATATCAGCAGTATGTATTTTATGTTTTGATGATGAGTTGAGGGAAGAAAAGAACATATTTTCTTTGAACCCTGGGTATTTTCTAGGACTAGAATAAAATACTAGTGAATTTTAACAATGTGAGTCAACATTATCTAAGGGAGTTTCACACAATCACAAGATTCCTTAATGTCTTCTATTTTATGATTTTAATTGTATCAGCGCCCAGATCCAAATTTGAAAGAAAAAAAATCACAGTTAAAAGCTATGAGACGATTTATTTAAAAATGCATGATTTACCTTTTCACAATGCAGATCCCTGAGAACAGGATCTATGCTTAAGAAATAAAGAAACAGATTGAAATAAAGTAGCAAAAATGAGCCAAAACCTATTAATACAATGAGTACATCCAAATTTTAGCAGTGACAGCAGAGCTAGTTCACTTGGAGGTTAGCTAAATAATTATTTTAAGGACTCACTGTCCTTTCTGGGAAAATGAACTGCAATGTCAAAAGCTCTTATGATGTGAAAAATTAGAACAGTTATGAACATGAATTAATATCTATTCACTTAACTGAATTACAGAAGGCACATTAAATGTTTATGTAGCATTTTACAGTTAGCAGAGTTGTCCTGAAATCATACCATTTATCTCTATCAGACAGGTATGTCATGGCCTATTTCAACTGTCAAGAGTCATTTAGGTTGCTTATTACACTTGTACATAGTTTAGCTTTACTTGTCTTTGACAAGAGAGATAGAAAATGAGTAGAGAACTGGCAGTAAGTTGAGAACGGGGTATTATTTTAGGATAACAATTAAAAATAACTTGGATAATTGAGGCTTGGGATTTATTGAGTGCTCTGCTATATCCCATTGAATCTGAAATATTATAAAGATTATAAACAAATATCTTGACAAGAGCCAATAGTTCATACATATAATCCTAGGTACTCAGGAGTCTGAGAGCTAGATAATCATGGTTCAAAGGCAGCCGGGGTAGAAAACTCTGCAAGATTCATTCTCCAATGTAGCCAGGAAAAATAAGTGGCAGAAGACTTGTAAAATGAATCAAGGCCTTTAGTTCAAACTTTAAAACATCAAGAAAAAACATATTTCAACTGAATTAATTACAGTGAATCATCATAATACAGAATTGATCAAAGAAGTTGAAATGACAACCCACTCACAAGATCTTTTTTTCTAATTGTATTAAAATATGGATGTAGGTTAATTATTATGATATCTCTTAATTACTCTCTGATTATGCTGCTAATGATTCTTTATTTGGATTAAATTGGAATGACAATGCCTAGAGGAGAATATAGATACATTAGAAATGTAGGCATTATATTGAATCTGTTTTCATAAATTACATAATCCACACAAGCATCTCAATGTACTCTTTGGTTACTCACCTTGTTTGCCATCCCATGGTGGTGACTGTTTATCTCTGTTCCTATCTCTGATATATCTTTTTTTTTCCTTCACAAATGCTTTAGGCATAGTCAAAATTGCTTTGCTTTCTGAGTTTCAATAGTTTTAATTACTATCAGTATTAAAGTTAGCAATTTTGAGAAAATTGAACATCAGGAAGGCCCAGACTGTACTCACATTTCTAAAGTTGGTCTCTATCCATCCAGGCCTATCAATATTTTCTAGAAATAGAAAGTACTAAGTATTAGTCTAGAATCCTCATTGCCATCTTTAACCACATTCAAGTCCTTATTTCTAGCAGGTCAGTATGTTTTATAAACTCTGTTCCAAAACATATTTCAAATAAATCATCTCTATTTCTTTATTATCACCTAAGCTTGACTCTCATAATTATCAGTTATTTTCTTGCTCTTGACCTTAAGGCCACTTCATTCATAATTTTTAAAATTACCTTCCAAGAATATGGACATGTCATTTCTTTTCTTTTCATGTCAGTCCTAGTCTTGAACGCAGGGCTTGTGTGCTGTCCATGAGTTTTTGTGCTCACAGATAGCTCTCTAGCACTTGAACCACAGATCTACTTCTGGCTTTTTGGTGATTAATTGAAAATAAGACTCCCATGGACTTTTCTACCTGGGCTGGCTTTGAACCAGCATCCTCACATCTCAGCTTTCTGAGTAGTTAGGATTATAGGCATGAGCCACCTGCACTCGGCTTGATATATCAAACCAGATTCAGTATGATAGTCAAGATTCATGATAATCTAGACCCTTTATAACTTCATAGTCTATGTCCTTCTACCATACATTTCTATTCCCAGACCTCATGATCCCCTGCACATTGCAACTGCATTCTCTTGTAAGCTCGCTGGTGACTTCTATATTTCAGTGTATCTTACCAACACTTTAAATTTGAGGTCAGATGAAAAATTCTGGTATTATTATTCTACCATGTTGAATTATGCTTCTATCTGTTCATCAATTTGGCTTAATATGGTCCAAATTCTACTTAATTGCTCATTTGACACTTAATGGTAATAATTGTAAAAACAGTCTTCAGATGACCGATTGTACCTTGTGCATGGTTTCATGAACTGAAGCTGAAAATACCTTGTTCAAATGAGATATGTCCATAATAAAAAGCTTGGCTTTCACTAATTATCCATTCTTTTCTTGCAAAAAAATTAGGGCTTTATACTCTCAACCTTAGTGCTCATATATCCATAATATGTATGCTTTCTAAAATTATTTTCCCAGAATATGGACATGTCATATCTTTTCTTTTTTCTTTCTTTTTTATTATAAAGATCGTAGAAGCTATTAAAGGCAAGTATTGACTTAATATAATCATTTTCACTCTTACATTAATGCTTAAGACTACATTTGTAATTTAAAATAAAAATAGTGCAGCTTTTGAAGTTGTTCTGACTAGTTTGTTTCTGCTCCAATGCCATTTTTTCTATTGGTTCTATTAATATGATCCATGTTTTCTTAATTTCTTCTTGGCAATGCCTTTGGATTTCATCTTGAAAAGGAATATTTAGTACCAAATATCAGCATCATCATTTTTAGTTTTGTGTTAAAGATAATAATGCACAATATTAATTGAAATCTTTCATGCAGTTGTTCTCTACCATGGTGTGGGTTCTATAATTAACCCCATTTATATTTTCACATCTCTATTCAGAATGACTTGTAAGCTATTTTGCATGTATAAATATTTAATTGCCAGTAGAAACAAGGTGCAAAACTAATCATCAAGGGAACATAAATTAATACCACAAATCTTCATGCCTCCAGATAGAATAACTTAAAAATAACAGTCAATATCATTTATCTGAAATAGACCAGTAGAAATACTCATGCAGTGCAAATGGTGGGAAAGTTTGGTAAATCATTCTGGAAATTTGTTCAAAGTCTACTAAGGCTAATATGATATATATTCTTTAACCCAGCAATTCAGTTCCTAAATTTCCACAAAAGTAAGCATATACATTCACCAAAGGAAATAAGGATATTCATAACAGCAAGCCAAGCTGAAGAATACTATTAGTCACAACACTATATTATGTGGTATTGACAACATAATTCACATCCAGTAAAGGCAATGAACAAAGTAAATCCCATATAGCAACATATCTAGATCTTATAAATACAATGATCAACGAGAGAAATTGGATGCAAAAAAAATCTATGTATGCAAAATAACTTTTTTGGCCAATATAATATCCCAAGTTAGGTCTCCAATAACAGAATCACAGGAAGGCAGGTATGACTTAGGTCATTAAAAAAGTAAAAAGAAAAAAACCAAGAGAAATGTAAGAGTGCATAAATGGCTGAGTAGCTAGGTTATATTAGGCAGCAAAAGTTATTTCAAGAGCGTGATATTGTGAAGATCATTCTAGATTCAAAAGAACGCATACCGCAATTCATATTTTAATTTGTATTTTAAAGCTATGTACACATATATGTGTGTATTTGATACACATTTCACAAATTATGTACATATTTGATTAATTATTTGCAGTTAATTTTATGGGTAATTGTTTATGCGCACTAGTTTAAAGAATAATGAAAATGAAGAAATCTTGTTTATAGTCAGTCACTGTGCACATATATTAATGCAGAGAAATAAGTGTATATTTTATGTTAATAGTCTAGTTGACACTTGAGAAGTGTCTAGTTGTCTAGCTGATGAGGACATTGCTGAATAGTGATTAAGGAATTAGCATTAAAAGATAACTAACTATGGTGTGAAAGTATAAAGGAAAACAGGAGGAAAAAAATGTGAATCTAAATCAATATTTCCAGGCTGGGGATGTAGCTTAATGGTAGAACTTTTGCTTAGTATGCACAAGGTTCTGGGTACAGACCCCAGCACTGAAAAAATAAGTAAGTAACTAAATTGATGTGTTTTTTTTTTCCATTGGCATTTCCAGTCAGGAAAGAAGTAGTATAAAAGGAAAAAGACTAGAATTAACTAAGTAAATAAAACATACAGCTTGATGCTTCAAGACTATAAAATTCTTTTCATTTTCTATTATTTTTCTTCTTTCCAGAAACTCTGGCTGTCACAAAACAAAACCAGAAAAACATTAGTATTAACTCATACACCATAGTTTAACCCTAATTTTTGGAGGGGAAAGGAGTCTTGCCTTTAAATACTTGAAGCTATGAGAAAGGAAAATGTATTGTTTGAATTAAATTTGGTATGCATTGGCATTACTTGGAGTGATTTTTGAGAGCTATTTAACCAAGGAGAAAGATTGGTGCATTGACAGAGAAATTAGAGAATTGTGCAGGCACATTATGCTGAGCTGGCAGTGAGATGTCTGTGGCACACCTGTTTTATGCCAAATGATGTATAGCAGAATGAGAAAATCAGGGAAGCAGTATTGTTCTCGGTTGTGTAAAAGGCTAAGGGTCATGGAACAATGCTGACACATGCTCATTTTTAATGGATTTTAAATTAGTTTTAAACTACTGAAATCTTGCACAGCATGTTCAGTGACTTATTCTGCGTGATTGCAAAGAGGGAGCTGGATAACGGGGGGCGGGGGAGGGAACAAAATGTCCATGTTTTCTGCAGGCTGCTTCCTTCTGTCCTTGCATGATCGTGGTCATCCTTAGGACTGAGACTTGAAAGTGAGCCTAACAAGGTGCTCTGTCTTTTGTTCCAAAAGTTGTTGCAATTTTTAGAAGTTAAACATTGGGATAATTCTTTGGTCATCTGATAGGAGGCCAAATATTTCTACTAAAAAAAAAAAACAAACAGGAGCAATTGCATCAAATCAGAAGTAATTGTGTGGGGAAATGATGACTTAAAAAGAGAGATCACTGTGCTCAGCAAAGTTGCAAGATTCCTATTGAACTTATCTCTCAGTTTTGCTAAAAAGAATCCCAGGATGGCATGCAAATGTGAAGGGAATTAGGAAATAATAAATTGTGACAAGATTCATTGTTACACTTTTTCTGCGATTTCAAAAAAAAATTATCTGTTGAAATCAACCCAATTGTCTCCTTGACAGAATACCAGATAATGCAAAACATAAAGCAGTCATATGATGGGAGTACTACTCTGCAGTAAAAGGGAATGAGCTACTCAGAAACACCACAACACAAATGAGTCTCTTATGACAAGTGCAAAGTACCAAATAAAAAAGTTACATGCTGCATCATTCTATATGTGTGGCCTTCTGGAAAATTCTACATAGTAGGGGGAAATGAGAACGGTAATTGTCCTAGGCTGTAGGTGTATGAAAGGAACTCATTAGAAAAGCATACTAAGGAATTATGTGAAGTAATATCATTGTTCTATATCTTATTGTGTCGTGGTCATGTAACTATGAGTATACCTTTATATCATATTTTGCTGAATTTCACAAAAGGGCATAGCAAAGGATGGTAAATAATTGATCTTAGCTGAAAACCACATTACTTTCTAAGTTTTGTTAAAGAATAGCAAAACCCTCTTTGCTTTTCTCCTCCTTTTATGCTGTTACTGGGGCTTGAACTTAGAACTCTCCTCTGAATGCCAAAGACTAATGTTGTTGCCCATTCTCTTTATTTTCTATATTCTCTTTTCAAGTCAATGTAGAATATCCTTAGCCTTTCAGCTTCACCAAGGAGAGACATTCTGATGAGCTGATCTTGGATCATTCTTGAGAACATGTAGCAAGCTGGTATCACAATACCAGCAAAGTGAGAACTTTCTATATCCTTTCTTCTCCCTGCCTTTTAATGTCAAGTGGGACCTAAAACCATGATCATCAAAGGGGCATGAGATGAGAAGAGCTAAAAGGAACTAGTAGAAGCCTACCACATCTCCAAAAAGTCTAGAAATGTCACTCAATGTAGCACAGAGCTGGAGTGGAAGGGAAGAAATGTTGTTTTAGAAGAAACGTTGGCATTTTTGTTAAAGTCTTGGATTAAAGTGAGAGAGTGTTTCTGATTTAACATAAATAAAAGAGAGAATAATTATGGGTTCTACGAAGGCTTTTAGTGGCCCTCGCTATAACCTCTCCTTTTCCTATCCCTGGATTTCCTTGAGATCAGCATCTCTTATGAGATTCCTATGACGTCTGCACACATCGATGCAATGGATGTTGATATTTTTCATACTATATTGCTCATTTTCCTTTTCTCCTTCATCCCCTTAAGCCATACCATAGTAAGGGTCATGTTTTATGTACATATGTGTGTATATATGTCCATACATATAT